CCAAACACATGGATTAATAAGCAACATTTTTTTTCTGATGAGTTGCACATTTTTTCTTGTCATTTTCATATCAGTACCATAAATTTACCTAAGGATAAGGAATCCTTTTTATTGTCAGCTCACTTTGAAATATAGCATTAGTTCCTGAAAAAGTGTTTACCATTTTTTTTGTGTGTGTGGGCATCAACATGATGTAATATTTAAGACTGATGAGAATTCTGGGTTTGAATTCTCACTTATTGCCTCCAAGACTTGGAAAAGTGCTTAAGCTCTTCAGACCTCAGTGGCCTTATTACTAACATGGGAATTCCGTGTAGTTGAAATGAGTTAATAGATGCAAAGTGCTCATATCAGTGCCGGGCACAGGGAAAGTGCTCACGGCTGCCATTGTCACCAACTCGAACTAAAGAAAATGGACTTAAGAGGTGATATCATGAAGCAGTTTTCTTCATCTTATAAATAATATGCTGAACTTCCAAACCCATACTATTCAAGACAACGTTTTGATGGATGCTATATCAGGAATATTTTTTCACAGCCAAACATTAAAAACCAGTGACAGTCTGTTCAGATAGAGACGGCAAGCACACATCCCCCACCCAACACCGCAACGTTGGCCACGTGCACTTAACCTGCCGAGTTTACACTCAGGCTCCAAATTTTTTCTCAACGCAATACTCTCAGCAGCCATTGCCAATTTGACTGGGTTATGTGAAATCAAGCCTTTTCCACCCTTGTTCCAATATTGTGTCTTCAGAAGTATTATTTATCCTGGAGGAGGAAGAATTTGTATTTTCAAGTAAACCCATTCCAGTAAAACTCTTAAATGATGAGCGATCATCCTCTCTCAAACCCTTGAATAGTCAAGGTGAGGAATAAAAAGAGGGAAGAGTTGGCTGACAACACCCAGGATCTATTGTTTGTGCTGCTTTGGAAGATGCTGCTAAGATGGATGACATTGACAACTGCAATGGAAAAGAGAGAGAGAGAGAGAGAGAGAGAGAGAGAGAGCAGGGTTTGCTAGGGCCTGAGGGAACCAATTGGAATATGGCCGCTTATGCTGATGACTCAGTAAATAATTTTCCGGAAAGACAGCCAGCGCATACTGTCTAGTACATGATACAGCTGGGCATGTTTCATTTTATCTGAAGCGAAAGATGCAAATGACTAAATGTAAAGATGTTTCCTATATGTTGATTGCTGTATTAGTGTGCTAGGGCTGCCATCACAAAATACCGCTGGCTGGGTGGCTTAAATTACAGACATTCATTTTCTCAGTTCTGGAGGCTGGAAGTCTGAGATTAAGGTGTTGGCAGGTTTGGTTCCCTGGAGGCCTCTCCCTTTGGCATGTGAATGGCTGCCTTCTTGCCGTGTCCTCACATGGCCTTTTCTGTGGAGGCATGCCACCTGCTTGGTATCTCCCTTACTATAAGGACACAAGCCATATTGGGTCAGGTCCCCACACTTATGGCCTCATTTAACTTATTAGCTTCTTAAAGGCCACATCTCCAAAGATGTTTGCACTGGAGGGTTAGGGCTTCAACATGTAAATTTTAGAGGGACACAGTTGAGTTTATCATAGTTGGTTTGTACTCATTGGATTCTAGGTTCTATAGCATCTTATAACCCCAGTAGTGTTACGTATACTCATCATCATGTGCCCCTAGTTCTCCAAGAAAGGAGAGTGATGCTGGTGATACACTGTTTAAGAGAACAGAGAACTGTGTACTCATTTTAGAAAATTTTCCATTTTCTGCAGATCAATAAGACTGATACCTCAATGGAAAATGAGCAAAGATATCAGAGTAGAAACTCACAGAAAGGGATAGTACAAAAAGCTAACCAGAATATGAAGAGATGCTCAATGAGATATTACTTTGCATGTATGAGACTGGGAAGATTAGGATAATAGCAAGTGCTGGCAGAAATAGGGGACCACGGGAACCCTCATGTACTATTGCTGAGGACGTAAACTGGTGTAGAAATCTCGCAGAGGACTCTGGTGGGAATAGCAAATTAGGTCTATGTATACACTTCCTCACCCAGCAAGTCCACTCCTGGATACACATCCAGAAGGACTTGTCACAGAGTTTACAAGGATCCTCTATGAGTAAGGTGATAAGGCATTTCAGCTTCCCTTCGACAATTGTAGGTACAACTGCTGTCCTGGCACAATTTTTAATAGCTCCCTTTTCATTCTCAAAAGTGTTCACCCTGTGTATAATAACTGAATTCATGGCATATTTGTGGTGGTGGTGGTTGTGGGTCGGGGGGTGGGAGGCAGTTTGGGGAGTGGAGCAGAAAAATGTGTTGAGTTCACGCTATTCAGCAGAAAGAAGTAACAGGCTAGATGTACCCACAGCAAAACATATATGCCTTTAGAACACAGTGCTGAATGATAAAAGAAACATCTTGAGCTTTATAGCAATGACACTTGCATACCATTAAGATCTATGCATATAGAACTTTATGTTTTATAAGAACACATACTAACACAAGGACATACATTTAATCACATTAAATAGTTGAGTTGGGGTAGGTGAGGAATAGCGGTGTGAGATCAAGGGGGGAAAAGAAATAAAATAGACGGGTCTTCTTAGAACAAAGATGATAATGGACCATTGAGAAGTATGATCAACTCAGGTCACAGTATTAGAAATCAAAAAGAAAGGGTTCCATTAAAATAGATAAAATTGAAGAATTTTTTAAAGTATCCAAAAAAATTAAACTATAGCTTTCTTGAGAAAATGGCGTTTGTTTTCTTATTTATTTTCTGAGGCTCTAAAAGGCATTTACGTCTGCTTGAATAATTTAAATAGGACAAAGTAAAATTAAAAACATTGAATGAGGAGAGCAGAACAGAGAGTATGTAGAATTAGGAAAGATAAGGCAAAGTCAGGTGTGAGGTGAATATCTAAAATTCACACCAAAAAGTTCTGCAGCTTTTCTAGAGATAGGTCTCAGATGTGGCACTAAACTGCTGGAGGAAAGAGATGCCCTCACATACCTGATCTACATTATCTGTAGTAACAGCCACCGCAAAACCACTCTGAGTACTAAGAGGCAGCCCAACTCCTTCCCATTCTGAGATCAGAGAGAAATTTCTCC